ATGTAAGTATTTTATTTTTTACAGAACACTACTAGATTTTGATTTGACATTTATCTCCCCATCATGTCGTAAGTCGCAATATTTTATTTAACTTGTATTTTAATATTAAACTTACTAAAGTATTTTTAATGCACATTTAAACAGTTTATATACTCTTGAAAAATAAACAATGTTACTAATATAACAACTTCTTGGTTTATTTTAAAATTTAGAAATTACCAGATGGTATTAAAATGTTCTTTATTCATTTTTAACCTAATTTTTTGTTGCTAAACAATGCTATGTTTCTGGTTCGAGTAGTATTATAGTTGATTTAACATTACCACGCGTAACTGTTGTTACGTAAGTACTCGTGAAATTGTGTCGATCTCTTTTGGAGAAAGAGACAGGTGAAAGGGGTCTGAAGTTTTTCTTTTTTTTGTTATGTACTTTCACAGGGTGCTCAAATATAACATTACATTTTATTTGTTTCTCGAACATTAACTTGGACTTTAAATATACATTTTCAAGTAGGTATAGGCATTTAAAATGTAAGAGGTTGTACATATTATAATATTAAATAATTTGTATTTTATAGTCTAAACATCATTGAGCATTATTATATTACAGTATTTGAGGCTAATTGAGTTAACTGTCTACGAAATTAATTTATCCTATGTTATAGATGGCGTTTTTACAAAAATATTATCCTTCGTTAGCGCTATGCCTTTTTGCTATTATTATAAGTCATAAAACTTTACTATACGAATCATTAAAAATAAAAATGATAAAGTGCCTGTTGTACAGACGTGCCAAGGACTCCGTGGTATCAGTAGAGGAGTTGACGTTTCTGACATCATATCAGGGCCAGACCGATAAAATAACGTTGAAAATATCTATGTATTATACTTAGTACTTATCATAACAAAGTATAATTTGTTGGAAAGTTTTAGATAAACATTTGATGGTGTTAAAATATAAAATATTATCATAATAATATGTAACTTATAATTGGCGATATATTTTGTAGTCAATGATATCGACGTACATCTTAATATTTCATTTTCAATAGACATAATTGTATTTATAATATATAATATATACTCAATGAAGAAGTCACCTTCGAAAAAAAATAATAATCGCGTTTCACGTACGTAGTTTATGTTTATCTCTGTAATTGTGTTATCACTTATAGACTTTTCAAGTTTCTAGTGAAAAAAAAAATAAATAGGTTATAGGTACTAGTAGTATAATAATTTACCTAACCACTTCGTAATAAAAATTTTTTTTTTAAGTTTTTGTTAATTGCCTGATCATCCCCTCCCCGAGGGAGACAATATTTTTAAGAAGTTTAAGAAGTATACTTAAATAGGAAAATTTTTCTTTTTATTATAGTCTAATACTAGTAAATTGTAAAAAATGACATATTTTTCTCCATTCAAAATGTGATATGTCGATGATACATTATATTATAGGAGGTTAACATTATGGCTGGCAGCTGCGTTAAAATTAGCAGGTCCGGAATCGGCCGATGGTGATCTGTGCCACCGCCCGTTCTAACCTAGAATTCTATATATTATTATTGTTTAAATATACTATGATTTGTGCAAAGCGTCCTCGTTTAATAGTAGCCGGGTAACCGAGACAATAAGGTGTCCAACTTAACTTAGACGTTTTTCATAAAGCAGTTATAAATGATAAAAAAAAGAAGTCATTTATGTAAAAGCATAATTATTATTATGTCCTTAAAAAATAACTTGGCTTTAAAACTAAATATTGTAAAACTTAAAGCTTAAATTACTTTTTAACGAATATAATTTAAATGTTAAATGGATTGTTAAATAAAAATTATTTTAGATCTATATATTTTCATCAAAATATAAATAGCGATTTCAGTATTAAATTGATCATTTATATTGTATAATATAATATAATATAATATATTATGTCCCATGAAGATAGGTTTAGATATACATACATATTTGAAGTGGTGGGGTGTAATGGAATTTCATTTCTAGCATAGACATAAGATTTAATTTCTCTGACCTATATTTTTATTAGTCTAATATTATTATTAAATATTAATTATCAATTAAGCGATTCTTGAATAATAATAAATTAAAAGATAACGCTTTGAAATATTAAAGAAAATATCATGACTTAATGCAATGCATTTAAAAAAAAAATAAACTAATTTACGTTCAATTGCATTTTATCTGTTACATTAATCAGCTTTCAATAATAATGTTCCCAGTTAAACTAGCACAAATGTTATTGTGCTTCATATTAATAGTTTCTTTTTATTAGAAATCTGCATATATTCTAAGTTTTATTACAGAAAAAAGCCATGATAGAAACATCCAATAAGCTATTAGTAGGTGTATGTTAGTCGAAAAAATAAATGCCGATTTGTTTTCACTAAAACATTTTCTATTTGAATTTATAATATCACTAAAACCACAATAACACTCAGCCTAAATTTTCAATTTCTATAGCTATGCATACCTTATATAGTTTTTTAAATTTATAACCTATATTACATCACAACTTTTTTTTATCAATATTTTGCTACTTATTACATAATTATGATCGCGTATAGTTTCCAATACTATTCCACTTTCAGATTAGTAAAAATTATTAAATGAATAATGTTTCAATTTAATTAATATAAACATAAATATATTATTTAAAAAATAGTTTTCAAAGTCACTCTTTAGTTGTAGTCGTAAAATAATCTATATGATAAAAGTAAAAAGCTGTCCATTTGTAACCGCATCAATCGAGAATTGTCAGATCGATTAGGCTTATTTTTTTTTTGAATGTTCGTAATATTCCAAATGAGGATTTAACGAAAAAAAATTAGAAAAATTACTAGGAAAATGGGAATAACTGAAAATGATTTTTTAAAGGTATAAATGGTTGTCATTAATATAATAATATAGTTATATTAGCAAATAAGTATAAATTCATATTTTTTTTATAAATGGTTGCCATTGGTGACATAATATAATATAACTGATGGCATATAATAATAATTATTATCACCATTTAAATTTATGGTTTTGATATTTGGTACGGTATTTTTAACCCGCTTTAGTTTATCTTAAATTAATAGACTCAAAAACTACTATACCGTTTTCTACAGAAAGTTTTACCAATAGGATTCCTTGAGACTCTGAGGGTGTTTATGGCTTATTTTATCAAGCCACATTGGTAGCAAAAAGGTAGATAACTTATGATTTTTCTTCAGCTCACGAAAAAAAAAGATTTTATTTTGTTAATTTATGTGGTTCCCATTGGTTACATTAGTATAATAATTAGTAGATATATGGTATATAATTTTTTTTTACAAATATATTTATAAAAAAAAAAAAAAAACAAATCTTTAGTACGGGCAACGCTGGGAGGGACAGCTATAAAATATTTAATACAATTTCAACTATAACAGTTACCGTGTATCGTATCGCACAAAATTTGTTATAACTTATAAATTATAATAGACAATAGTAGGTAGACAATATTTTCACTATTAATATAACATTTAATTAATTTTGAATATAGTATAACACAATTGTTGTTTATTTATTTTTTATTAAAGGTAGATTAAATTATGAGGAATCTTGTATTACATTTTCAAATCTTAGATTCAATAAGATAAATTTTTAACTCAAAATAATTTGCTCATTTTTATGATTTTTACGTATTTTGTCAAGATTTGAACTTAAGGCTTATAAAAAAAAATTGTGGGTATGGATTTTTAATATTTTTCAAATAACGTTGTAACAATATAGTAGGAGCCTTGTATTACATTTTCAAGTTTCTTACCCAACAAATCAATTTCATTGACATTCATAGAAAAAAAAACTAATAAAATTGGAAACTGAAAATGTCCGTAAAGAGTTCAAAACAAATCAAAATATTTTGAAAATTGAATCGTATATAGGAAATGTGAATATAAACAACCAGTAAAAATGTTATGTATATACGTTCATTTGTTTTAGAGTTACACCAAAAACCAAAATTGATTTTGTCGAAAATGGATTTTGCGTTAAAATTCTCTTTTTCCTTAATTTTTATGTTGTTTTTCCCGGTTGTTTTGAAAACTATTAGACATTTTAAATTTTGACCTCCGGAATGCACCAACTAGATTCACTTTCCCATCGAACAAGATACTGTTAAAGAAAATCGAAGTAGCGTTTTACTGCCCCAAACGGTGGTGACAAACACAAAAAAAACACACATCATTGTAACTTGTAAGATTAATACATTCATCGCTCCTTTCAGAATCTAAAATAAAAATCTTGGCCCTCAAAATACTTGAAATCCCTGACAAAACTGTGTTCAATTGATCAAATACACGCTTATAGTTTTAAAATATGAACATTTATTTTAACCTCTAAAGATCCAATTTTTCATAAGCCTTTCGTCTTTCTGGATTTGATTAATGCATTTAGGATTATAGTATTTAAATTTTAAAATATAATACATATTTTATAATGAGTAGGTAGTGCATTTGTTACAAGCTTAAAGATTAAACAGTAATAATCATATATTATCCTCTATACCATATTATTATAAATGTATAAATTATAAAACTTCATACAATTATTGTACGCATTATAAATTATTATTGTACTCGTACGCACTGCTTTATACTTTTCCCCTCCGAAAACACTAACCTCGTGCCTCACGATGGTATCCACTTCGTTTGTTTCATTCCGTTCCAGCCCGGTGTGGTGTCCGCTGGCTTGTGCGATTCTGTCCAAAAACGCGTCGTATTAGAATAGCCGGGTCAAAGGTTATCTTCGTTTAAATAATAATATTTTTTCCATACAAAATTTGTCTATTTTATTTATAATTTCTGTAACAGTGCCAAATGTTAAGTTTTTAATTTTAACTTAAAAAGTGAAAAAATATAGTGCAATATTCTCAATATTTTTATACACGTTAGTAAAGTGGCTGTGCCAAAAGTGGATTACTCAAAAGTAAAATTGAACATAAACATTGATACATGTTTTAGGATGGCTTTAGCCAGGTGAGTTCAATTATTATTAATTTTTTATTTTGGAAAAGTATTAGGTTCATTTTATTTCCATTTTTTTAGGTAGTATAATATAGACTACAAAATTCTTATAATATATATTATATAAGTATACTAATTGCATACATGTGTTTGCACAGCCCTTCAATTTCGACCACTTTAATTAAAATATTAAACATTGTTAATTTTAATTTATACAATCTGCGTACGAGAATACAACAAACACAATCAAGAGTTGTAATGATACAATGTCATAGCCAAGGTTGCCCTTGAGTCTCCTCCAATATCTATATGACGATCAACTTTTTTAAAGTAGTTTTTACACGTTTGGTGATTTTAGAAACAATGTGATTGAACACGAAGTCTGAAAAGTACATTTATCACAGTATACATAGAAGCTAATTTTTATTTAAAATTAGTGCCTCTTACTATTTACAACTTAAATGTTTATTTTATTCAGTACATTTTTGGCTTACAGAAAATACTGTTGGTAAATTCATTTTGTATTTTAAAATTAATAGTTTAGTAAAAAATATTAGTCTTATCATGCTTATTAAAATGTCGAATAATGTAGGTACCTTATCAAAATGTTGTTTTGTTTTTCGTCATTATTTTCATTCATAAAATCAGTCCGTTTCAAATATATTTTTACTAAATTATTATTTTATAACAACCTCTGTATTAATAAATTATAAACTTATTAATAAAAATATATGAATGCAATATGTTTAATCCTCAATATTGTTATTTTTATTGTTTATTTTAAAGTCTAATCATATTGTTATCAAGAAAAAATTGTCCATTTTTTATTTATTTTGTATTTTTCTTTATTATCCATTTTAAAATGCTTTGATTACAATACTATATTAACATTGAAACATCTCTCATTTACAACTATGATAAACTTGGGTCGGAATCGCAATCATTATCAAGGTTACATATTGGCCTCTAATTTACGTCATACTAGCGACCCCTTCCCACGCACCTTCCCACGCAGATTATTTGTAGGAAACATTTGAAATACGCTTAAGACTAAATATTGCCTAAGTTTGTAAATTTCACAATATTAATATTAATATTAAATATAGGAGTATTCCTATCCGAAACAATTTAGTCTTATCTTGTAATCTGTACTAATGTAGGTACTATATTATTTACAAATTTAAATGTTTATGATGAGAATATTATTTTTTATTTGAACAAATAATTGAGTTATGTATCATTTAGGCTGTAAGCTAGCAACGGTTATTTTTGTTAATCTGGTGCTTTACGGAAGGTGCATTTTCATGGGGTGGTTAGAGCTATGTATAATAATTCATTTTTATTGTAGAAACGAGGTCACGGGATATAACACTCCCTTTGGCCTTTATATAATATTGTTTAAATATACCTAAAAATACTTTATGTTAATATTGTGTTTACTTAAACATATATTATTTATATTTTATTAAGATGTAAATGTTTATTGCAACTTTTAACTTTTCTATAAATAGCGAAAACCCAGTTCTAAAAATAAAAAGATTCTCCAAAAACGAATAACTATACGATTAACCCTTAAAGTGAACGTGATAAATATCAATTATAATAGATCCGGGGGTATCTATAGCAAATATATATATTACGATTTATCAATTATTTTAAAGTACAACAGTATAACATTTGCTATTTATATTTATATCAATATAACATAATAAAAAATAATAATCTTTATGGTTTTTTATAAATCTTTATCTATAATTTTTTTAATTCATTTGTATTTGTCATTAACATACCTAATATTTATAATTAATTATTAGTACTATTAAAAAACCGTGAATTTTGTTTAATACCTATGGTTTAATGTATTATTTATTATTTACGTTGGATTATAATTTGTTAGTTTGGTTATACCACATAAGATTAGTTATGATGAGGTTAAATTTAAACAGTGTCTGTCTGGAGGCCACGGATGTTTGTTTGTCATAGGTATTAATATTTAACTGTTCTCTACAAAATATGTTTCGTTTTCATTACATTAGCTACAATTTATCGGCGTAATCAAACAATAGTATCATATATAAATATTTTAAGGATTATTTCAAACTTCACAAATCATAATAATCTGTGGAAGTAAATTGAATTTTGTTCTGTCAAGTTGGTTGAGCCAGAGGTTGGGCTATTGCAGGAAGAATTGCACCTAGCAAGGACGACCGGTGCGTCCCAAGCAATGTCATCCGACTACAAGGCCGGTCTGTTGCTAACAAACGAAAAATCTATAATATGCTTTATTTTTATACAAGGTGTTCAATCCTAATATTCAATTTAAAAATTCTAGTCCTTATTACTTATTAGTAACTCTAAATTTTTTGAAATAAAAATTATAATATTTGAATTAAAAACATACTAAGAACATTACACAGTTACCTATTTAGATAAATATTCTCAACTTAATGTAAATGTTTTTGTTGGTTGCATGCATTTCATGTTATAATAGGTGTATTTCTTATTTCATTATTATTACTAGGTAGAGTATTAATGCCTAATTTAATATTTTAAGAAAGAATATTATTCAGATCAGATAGACATAATTTTTGTTTTGTTTTTTATTTTTATTTAAAATGAGAATTAAAAGAACATTTTTCTGTTTTTACTCATTAAATATTAAATAAACAGAATTTTAAAAATTTGTATGCCTATTCATAATTTATTATTCAACATATAATATGTGGGCTGTGGCAGATGGTAAACATATTAATAGCTTAATCGTAAACAAAGATTAGCACTATTAACAATAAATCATTGTCTTCCTGAAAATTCAAAGGTAATAAGTAATACCTAATAATAGTTGCAGATTTACCATTTTGAAAACTCTTCAATGTATTTCTGTATCTCTATGCTATATACTTTTTAAAACTTAAAATTATTGGCATAAAATTCTTATGAAAATTTTTTTTATATATTAGTTTAACCATATTTTTGTGATAGAAAATAAGAACAGCACTTAACGGATTTTTATATAACGCCGACAAACAAAACATTGTTTTTAATGATGAATAATTGTGTTTCAAAATCGTAGCCCACACAAAATTCTTACTCAATCTTGGGTGTGCAGTTTGACGAGGGCTGAACTGTTGAAGTACAATAGAAGGGACGAACGACCCTTTTGGGGTTGAACCCGCCTAAATAATAATTCTAAACGTAGTGAAAAAAAATATATATATACCGTATACACGTACATTCACGTCTGCAGTATTTGGTCCGATAGGGTTGGATGAATTAGTGGGGATTTTCATAATTTTATCCTCGTATCGGTGAGGTATTACATGATGAAGGTTATTATGATGTATATTTTGTTAATGAAATTACAAATTTTTCACATACGTATATAATATATATAAATAATTTAATTAAATACAAATTACATTTTAGTGAAAATAATTGTATAAAAAAACTAAATAACCTATCTGAAATTCATTCAAAACTTCTTTTATATGTTAAATATATTTTGAATTAGTAAATAAATGGGTACCAATATAGCACATTTATAATTATGTAGACTGTAGATATTCGTTTACTGGTTTAGTTAAAAATAATAATGTGAAAAATATTTTACGAAAACCCATACATAATAAATAAATTAACAATTGCATTTATATAAAAATTACTATTGGATGTATTTCATTCGTGTTGAAACCACGCCGTACATGTGGCACAAGGATCTGTCCTACTTAAAGATCTCTGGTTTGTCATCTGCTCACAACACCCACGCATTCTGATACTACTACAATAATGCGTCGGAACATTGTCCCTTATTCTTTTGAAAATAATATCAGACAAGTAAGGGGCTTTTTCTATTATAATATTTCTCTTGCGGCTTAAATTCTCTTATGGTGTTGCAGTGTCCCGACTGCTTCGAGTCTAACTCATAAATTCACCTTTGTACAAAAATATAAATTGAATATTTTGCTTTTAAGGATCAGGTAAACCAAGCCACAGCAGGTAGTTGGTTGCTTAACATGGATTCTTTTATGTGTATTTAGTATTTGAGTTGGTTTCATTTCAAACAGTTGTGCGAGTGTATGTCATATAGTGCTATACGTAAGTTTCTCTTACGATATTTTTATAAATTATGAAATTTCTCAGTACTTGGACATTGAATGATAATTATTCTGTTGTTCTATTCAGGTAAATAATAAAAATAATCTTGGCTGTCAATATGTTGTGTTTTATACTTTTATCAAAAACATGGTAAAATGTTATAATTTACCCATTAGTTAGGACAATTACTAGTACCTTGATTTTCACTAATTGTCCATAATAAATCTAATGTAAAAAATGGATATTCAGTATATTATAATAATTTGTATAAGTTATCACAAATATTGGGGATTTGAATTAATAAATATATGTTTTTCAATCGTGTCAACCATTACTCGTATTAGTACCTACCTACCTATATTAATTAGGTACATATTAAATATTATATATTTTAATGAAATATTGTCGAATGAGTTTAACTAATTTACTTAAAATACCCTAAAATTTAACGTTATGTGACTTTCAAATTCATATATAATAATAATAAGGAAATAATATTTCATTATAATACCTATATTACAAGACTTAATAGACTTTTCAATAACTAAATATGTTTAATAAGTAAATGTGTTACCTAGTAAATATAATAAATGTTAAATTGTTCTTGGATTTTTATGTGAACAATTTTAATTAGGGAACCTGATTCAGGGTTTTTGAATATTGCTTAGCTCTATTTCCGGAAGGTCGGACCTTTCTTCCGTTTGCCATACCCAATATATATATTCATATTTGAAATATTTCTGGCACTAAAGTCAACTTAAAGATGCCAAAAAAATACAATTACCTTTAATGATGTATCAAATTATTGAAATGTATTAAATTTTAACGTTTACGTAAAAATAATTTTAGAAAATAGTCTCGTACATTATCTTTTGATCTATTTTATAATATTTATTCCATATTAATAATGTAGGCAC